TCATTACAACAGAACCAACAGAACATCATTAAAGCAGAACCAACAAAAAACTAAAACAGAACCAACAGTACATTAAAACATAACCAACAGAACATCATTAAACAGAACCAACAGAACATTATTAAACAGAACCAACAGAACATAATTATAACAGAACCAACAGAACATCATTACAACAGAACATCTTTAAAACAGAACCAACAGTACATTAAAACAGAACTAACAGAACATCATTAAAACAGAACCAACAGAACATCATTAAAACAGGACCAATAGAACATTACAACAGAACCAACAGAACTTAATTACAACAGAACCAACAGAACATCTTTAAAACAGAACCAGCAGAACATTACAACAGAACATAATTAAAACAGAACCAACAGAACATCATTGAAACAGAACCAACAGAACATCATTAAAACAGAACCAACCGAACATTAAAACAGAACCAACAGAACATCATTACAACAGAACCAACAGAACATCATTAAAGCAGAACCAACAGAACATCTTTAAAACAGAACCAACAGAACATTACAACAGAACATAATTAAAACAGAACCAACAGAACATCATTGAAACAGAACCAACAGAACATCATTAAAACAGAACCAACAGAACATTAAAACAGAACCAACAGAACATCATTACAACACAACCAACAGAACATCATTACAACAGAACCAACAAAAAACTAAAACAGAACCAACAGAACATCATTAAAACAGAACCAATAGAACATTACAACAGAACCAACAGAACTTAATTACAACAGAACCAACAGTACATTAAAACAGAACCAACAGAACATCATTACAACAGAACCAACAGAACATGATTAAAACAGGACCAATAGAACATTACAACAGAACCAACAGAACATCATTACAACAGAACCAACAGAACATCATTAAACAGAACCAACAGAACATTACAACAGAACATAATTAAAACAGAACCAACAGAACATCATTGAAACAGAACCAACAGAACATCATTAAAACAGAACCAACAGAACATTAAAACAGAACCAACAGAACATCATTACAACAGGACCAATAGAACATTACAACAGAACCAACAGAACTTAATTACAACAGAACCAACAGAACATCTTTAAAACAGAACCAACAGAACATTACAACAGAACATAATTAAAACAGAACCAACAGAACATCATTAAAACAGAACCAACAGAACATCATTAAAACAGAACCAACCGAACATTAAATAGAACCAACAGAACATCATTACAACAGAACCAACAGAACATCATTAAAACAGAACCAACAAAAAACTAAAACAGAACCAACAGTACATCAAAACATAACCAACAGAACATCATTAAACAGAACCAACAGAACATTATTAAACAGAACCAACAGAACATAATTAAAACAGAACCAACAGAACATTAAAACAGAACCAACAGAACATCATTACAACAGAACTAACAGAACATCTTTAAAACAGAACCAACAGAACATCATTAAACAGAACCAACAGAACATTATTAAACAGAACCAACAGAACATAATTAAAACAGAACCAACAGAACATTAAAACAGAACCAACAGAACATCATTACAACAGAACTAACAGAACATCTTTAAAACAGAACCAACAGAACATCATTAAAACAGAACCAACAAAAAACTAAAACAGAACCAACAGTACATTAAAACATAACCAACAGAACATCATTAAACAGAACCAACAGAACATTATTAAACAGAACCAACAGAACATAATTAAAACAGAACCAACAGAACATTAAAACAGAACCAACAGAACATAATTAAAACAGAACCAACAGAACCTTAAAACAGAACCAACAGAACATCATTGAAACAGGACCAACAGTACATTAAAACAGAACTAACAGAACATCATTAAAACAGAACTAACAGAACATCATTAAAACAGAACCAAAAGAACATAATTAAAACGGAACCAACAGAACCTTAAAACAGAACCAACAGAACATCATTAAAACAGGACCAACAGTACATTAAAACAGAACTAACAGAACATCATTAAAACAGAACCAACAGAACATCATTAAAACAGAACCAACAGAACATAATTAAAACAGAACCAACAGAACATTAAAACAGAACAAACAGAACATTAAAACAGAACCAACAGAACATCATTAAAACAGAACCAACAGAACATTAAAACAGAACAAACAGAACATTAAAACAGAACCAACAGAACATTAAAACAGAACCAACAGAACATTAAAACAGAACAAACAGAACATCATTAAAACAGAACCAACAGAACAGTAAAACAGAACCAACCGAACATTAAAACAGAACCAACAGAACATCATTACAACAGAACCAACAGAACATCATTAAAACAGAACCAACAAAAAACTAAAACAGAACCAACAGTACATCAAAACATAACCAACAGAAGATCATTAAACAGAACCAACAGAACATTATTAAACAGAACCAACAGAACATAATTAAAACAGAACCAACAGAACATTAAAACAGAACCAACAGAACATCATTACAACAGAACGAACAGAACATCTTTAAAACAGAACCAACAGAACATCATTAAAACAGAACCAACAAAAAACTAAAACAGAACCAACAGTACATTAAAACATAATCAACAGAACATTATTAAACAGAACCAACAGAACATAATTACAACAGAACCAACAGAACATTAAAACAGAACCAACAGAACATAATTAAAACAGAACTAACAGAACCTTAAAACAGAACCAACAGAACATCATTAAAACAGGACCAACAGTACATTAAAACAGAACTAACAAAACATCATTAAAACAGAACTAACAGAACATCATTAAAACAGAATCAAAAGAACATAATTAAAACGGAACCAACAGAACCTTAAAACAGAACCAACAGAACATCATTAAAACAGGACCAACAGTACATTACAACAGAACCAACAGTACATAGTTAAAACAGAACCAACAGAACATCATTAAAACAGAACAAACAGAATATAATTAAAACAGAACCAACAGAACATCAAAACAGAACAAACAGAACATTAAAACAGAACCAACAGAACATCATTAAAACAGAACCAACAGAACATTAAAACAGAACAAACAGAACATTAAAACAGAACAAACAGAACATCATTAAAACAGAACCAACAGAACATCATTAAAACAGAACCAACAGAACAGTAAAACAGAACAAACAGAACATTAAAACAGAACCAACAGAACATTAAAACAGAACCAACAGAACAGTAAAACAGAACAAACAGAACATTAAAACAGAACCAACAGAACAGTAAAACAGAACCAAGAGATCATCCTTAAAACATAAACAAAAGAACATCTTTGATTACAAGAACCAACATAAAATGAACAGAACCAACAAAACTTTACCAGGAAAGGTTTCTGTGCCTTGCAGAGGATGAGGTGGAGGGTGATGAGGCTCAGCGGGTGGAGGAGACGGTGGAGCAGGAAGAGGAACGTTTGGAGGAGGTCAGCAGGAAGCTGATCATCAGGGAGGAGCAGCTGTTCAGTCAGGAGTCCGTCAGTGAGGGGGAAGAGGACCAGCTGCTGGGAGACCTGGAGACTCTCAGACTGCAGATAATAACGGCCATCCACGACACCTTCACCTCTTCCCCCTCCTCCCCCTCCTCCCCCTCCTCCCCCTGCCCCTCCCCCCCTCCTCCAGGGCGATGGAGGTCCTGAGGAGTGCTGTGGTTTGCATCCAGCAGCAGGAGGAGCAGGACCGGCGCTGGACCGGGTTTCCTGCGGACAAAGTCCCAGTGTGGCGTCCCCAGAAGTTTCTGAGTACTCACAATAAACTCCTGCAGAACATGGTGGAGTCCAGACTGATGAAGGCTGCTGAGGAGGATTCTGATGGTCTGTCAACTCCTCTGAAGAGGGAGGTGGGTCAAACACAGGAACAGCAGGATCTGGTAACCACATCAACTGTTCAACTCTAACCAGCTCTCTGAAACACTTTGTGTCACTGATACGCCTGTGCAGGTGTGTCGTGTGGGGAGACGTGTGAAGGAGGACCTTCTGACTGTGGGGAGGTCGGTAGTGGACTGTTACCCTCCTCAAATGGACATCCTGAACCTCTACGCAGGACTTTACCATCAGAGTTTCTCTGCTCGACTGAACCACCTCGCAGCTTCAGAGCTGGAAACAGGTGACTGCAGCTACCTGCTGCTCTGGATCAACATCTGCTACCCTAAGTGAGTCCCTGACACCCTCAGTTAGTCCCTGTTACCCTCAGTCAGTCCCTGATACCCTCAATTAGTCCCTGATACCCTCAATTAGTCCCTTATACCCTAAGTGAGTCCCTTATACCCTCAATAAGTCCCTGTTACCCTCAATAAGTCCCTGATACCCTCAATTAGTCCCTTATACCCTCAGTCAGTCCCTGTTACTCTCAGTCAGTCCCTGTTACTCTCAGTGAGTCCCTGATACCCTCAGTGTTTCCAAGTGAGTTCAGAATACCCTCAGTGTGTACCTGATACCATCAGTGAACAACCGGTAAGTCTCTAATAAATAGACGAGTCTCTCATACCCCCAGTGACTCCCCAATTCCCACAGTGACTCCCTGTCTGCTTATAAAGTATGCTCCTATTGAGAGTCTGTCTACCTGTAACTGACAACTCAATATCATGGCAACTGGAACATTATTTGTTTAGAGTCAAGTTGTAAAAACATTATCTTTGAGGAGTCGGCTGTCATTTTGCCCTCAGTAAATTTTGCTTTAGTCTGTGTTTAGCTAGCCAAAACTTGCATTCCAATTAACATTGCAGCGTGGATTCCCTAGTGTTAGCTGCTCACTTTGTGTTTTCCAAATATGTTCACTCTGGACATTGTGAAGAGTAATCTCAGGTCTTTGTTTCCAGTGAAATACTAAAACATGAAGATCTGGAGGGGAGGATAAAGACGGCCTGTCTGGGTTCTCTGCTTCAACTGGACCACCTTGAACGTCTGGAGGACCAGTACCTGACCCACA